TGAGATGAGTATTTATATGAAGCCTGAGAGTCTTTTTGGCAAGTCTATTGCGATTAGGCAAAGAAATACAAGGGCACCAGGTAATATATTATAGACTCATAGAGTTTATTTTTAGTAATACTTTTAGTGAAACTCAATACTTGGTAACAATTATTTCTAACTAGTGATTATCGCAGCTGATTGGTGGGCATCATATGGTTCTAAAACTCCAAACTTGCAAACTTTTGCCATAAAAGTCCTTAGCCTAACATGTAGTTCATCGGGTTATGAACGAATTTGGAATGTTTTTAAACATGTGAGTATTTAACATTCTAACTAATTTTTTGTTCAATTCAAATATTTTTTATTCTCATTATATTGAATTTAATATCTTTTTAATACTTACAGCTTCATAGCAAGAAAAGAAATAGATTAGAACGTCTCAATGATTTAGTGTTTGTCAAATATAATAGAACATTGAGATTTAGGTATGACATGCGCAACACTCTTGATCCCATATCTTTGCAAAATATTGATGAAAGCAATGAGTGGTTGCTTGGGAGGATGGATGGAGAATCAGATGAAGATAATGAGCCTGTGTTTGATGATGATGATGGCTTGACGTGGTCCACTATTGATAGAGCTTCTGGAGTAAAAGAAAGTAGCCATGCAAGTAGAGCAACAAGTTCACGCTCAAAGGTACAACCGAGGATATCTAAATCATCAAGATTAACTCCACTTCAATTAATAGATGAAGAGGAAGCGGGCTCAGATGACACAGAGGAGGAAAATGTTGAGGGATATAAATCAACTGATGGAGAAGAAGATGATAGTTTGCTTGCCATTGATGTTGAGGATGATGATTGACTGACCAACCTAACCTACCCTTTCTTTTGATACTGATGTTTTTAAGTGTTAAGACATATATTAGTATTTGTTGAATATTTATGTTTTGGATGTTTAGTGTTTGTGTTTATTTTTATTTTATTGAATATGGATTATTTTATCTTTGAAAATTGGAATGTTATGTAATATGCACTTTCATGGCTTTGAGAATTATTCTATATTTTGTCTTGAATCTTGATTACTTTTTATTTTTAAAAAAATTGTCTTAGTACTATGAATGATTAGTCTATGTTAAATTTTTCTATTTTTTACTAAGACTGTGCGCTTTACTTCAATAAAGCCAGCGCCTCGCCTTGCACCTAGGCCCCAAGAGACCTTCAGCGCCTTCGTGCGCCTTGAGCCTTTAAAAACACTAGATGGAATTTCGTTTGGTTGAGTCAAAATGTAGCCCTCGACATGCTCGTCATTTTGGTCCAAAGAACTAGTGTCAAATCTTTGCTGATCTTGGTGGATTGAAGAAAATGTGAAGTTTGGTGAGAGTTTTAGAGAGAAGGGAGAGAAATGTGTGTGTGTGTGTGTGAGAGAGAGAGAGAGAGAGAGAGTAAAGAGATATGAGAAAGAGAGAAAGAGGATCAATTGATAGAGAGAATGGACTCAAAAATCGAGACAAAAACACGCCTGGCTGCACGTACGGTGCCTCCCCCCCCCCACTCAACACATGCAATTTCCCGCAGTGTGTTGTTCCTATGCTGCTCCACCTTGCCGCACATGCAGCTCCAAGCTTAGATCCAAATTTTGGCCTACTCCAAACCACACGTGCGAGCCCACCAACCGCACGTGCATAACTGTCTGTTGTGGATAAACTTCCCCCAAGGCACTCCCACACCCCCCGGTTCGTCCTTACGCCCAAAATTCGAAAATTCTAACTTGTAAAACAATAGAAGAAGCTAGACACTGTTCAACAAGCAAACAACACATCACACGATGCTCAAGGTTCTGAAGGTCACTCAATAATTCCGAAAAGGCACACTCAAGTCGGGTCAACGACCCAGGGCATCACATTAGCCTTAATTAGTAAGGATTAAGTTAATTAATCATACTCTAAATAAACCTGCAAAACTTTTTTATATAATATATAGAAATGTAGCTCACATTAGTTTAGGATCTTGAAGCACCTTGATTAAGCCATTGGAATGTATATAAACAAGTTATGCTCAATAATGCTCTCTTACTATTCATCCATCTACATTATGGTTTAATGCATCAAAGAATCACCTTTGTTTTTTATAATAACAAGTATCATATGGTAAGTTATATTCCATAAGATGATGATAGTGTGTTATATAACTAACACTCTAAAATAGAATATAAGACACAGAAACTCTAGTGTTCAAGTGTCAAATTGGTGAATCCCAAGTGTTTAATGATATGGTAACACACCTAGGGTGTCATAATACCAGACCCAATCAAGTGTCAAAGTGGTAAATCTCAAACATGTATTGAAAGGATAACAGCTAACGTGTTACAATACCAAACATACAGTGCATCTTGATGCTACTTACCGCATTTTGATGCATCTCAAGTCGGCTCTAGGGAACGGGATACTATTCTCCAATCATGGTCATTTGAGAATGGAAGCATCTACTGATAGGTGGTCCACCTCCGACTATTGTACCTTCTTAACAGGGAATCTGGTTACTTGGAGGAGTAAAAAGCAGACTGTGGTTGCTAGATCTAATGCAAAAGTCGAGTACAGAGCTATGGCTCATGGCATTTGTGTGAGCTTATATGACTTCAAGTGTTATTAATGGAATTAGGGTTACATGATGTTAGCCCTATGAAACTGTATTGTGATAACAAAGCTGCTATCGATAGTGTTCACAATCTAGTGCAACATGATAGGATAAAATATATTGAAGTTGACAGATACTTTATTAAGGAGAGGTTGAGCAAGGGTTTAATTTTTATGCCCTTTGTGAGGTCTGAAGACTAGCTAACTGATATGTTCACTAAAGGACTAGTAATTTTTCATCCTGATGTGTGCAAGTTGGTCATGACATGAGACATCCATGCATCAACTTGAGGCGCAGTGTTATGTTATGTTGTATTTCCCTTATGGGTATTTTTATACTTTGAGCACTATTAATGTAAATCTCTATTGTTAGAATCGAACGATTCACAATTCGAATCGTACGATTCAGTTCGATACATATACAAATCAATACGAACTGGTAGAGAGAATCGTAAATGACAATGAATCACACCTGTATCGTTGAATCGATCACCGAATCATAAGAATCGCAGAATCACACGATTCTGGAAATCGCCAGTAAACCCGCAACTAGTAGGACCCGAATGGATTTCTTTGATTTCGGATGCATTTTTTTTTCTGCTTTATTTTGCTGGAGAATGGATCGACTAGGTCTTCTAAGACCTTTCGAGTTATTATATAATAATCCCATTGTCTTTTGGTTTGCTTATTAACTCTCAAACAACAAAACCCTAGAAAAATAAAATAAAATAAAATGGTTCTCTCTTTCTCTAGTTACGAAGAAGTAGCTTTTGATGTTGGGTCCATGCGCCTTCAACTTTAATTAAATCTTGAAGCTTCAACAAACTTTTTTGAGGTGTCGTGCTTGGACTTTGAGCTGCTATTGGTCCACAAACTCCATACGATACTGTTTGCTGTGCAAGAACTAAATTGAATAGTTCATAATTTGCCCACTTTGAGCCTTTTTATTACTTTTGTACCTCTGTTATTGCTGTCACTAGCTATTGGTGTTGGAATTTGGAGTTTTGAGTTTTTAATTGCTCTCTTTATCAAGATTAAAGAATGGTTGATAATTTATTTTTATTTTTTTTAACCTTTTATATACATCTAAAAATTTAGTATATTTTTGTATTTATCAAATTTTTTTTTTTCTTAGAATCTATCACAAATATTTTACCTTTCAAGTACACACCTAAATTAGGTGCATCTAAAAATTAAAAAATAATAATTAAAATATGAAAAAAAAAAATCACTAAAAATAAATAACACAAAACAAAAAACCAAACAACATTTTCATTGAGTTTAGTCTATAATATTTCATATTTGTAAGATAAATGTAATATTTAAGTGTGTAGATATGTTTTTTTATCTAATTTTTTAAAATGACCGAATCCTTATTAAAATATGAAAAAAAAAATCACTAAAAATAACATAACACAAAACAAAAAACCAAACAACATTTTCATTGAGTTTAGTCTATAATATTTCATATTTGTAAGATAAATGTAATATTTAAGTGTGTAGATATGTTTTTTTATCTAATTTTTTAAAATGACCGAATCCTTACGATTCATGATTCGATTCGATTCGATTCGCGATTCGGTACAAGGACATTTCGATTCACGATTCGAATCCTGATTTGACAACTATGATGTAAATATGACGGAAGAAGGAAGAGAATTAGAAGTCCAAGCAATAGTATATTTACTATATACTATGCTAGGGACGATAATATACTAAGTTTCTTCACTTTTACCTCACACCATTCTCTCCATCTCTCCTAACCTCTATAAACATCTTTTGGTTTATTCATATTTCTTCTCTCAAAATCTAACTGTTTCATTTCATTTACTTATACACTTGGTCTAAATGGATGTTTGTAGGATAATCAGGTTAAGAAAATTGAATGTTTCCAGTACTTAATCAAATTATACCACAAATACCACAGAAGAATCATCAATTTGTTTTAGTTGGGCCTTAGTAGTCTAAGATTACTAGCCGATCACTTAGTAGTCTAAAACTACTGGCCGGTCACTACTCTATCTCTACTGGGGTCGAATAAAGTCATGACATACAAGATTTTATAGTGTAAAGGCTTACCGTAACCGTTTGAACCACTTAGCTATCAAACCATTGTGAGTCATCTCAAGCTTTACCGAAAACCAAGAAGCCGAGCTCGAGTTGAGTTGCTAGCTTGAAAAGAAGTCAAGCCAAGCTTGAACACTCCAAAATGGGACAAGCCGAGCTTGAGCATTCTAGTACTTGCCTCGGCTCGGCTTGTTTGCAACTCTATCCAAACTACAACCATGGAAAAGCAGCTAAACATATGTATTAAGATCTTTTTATTATTGTTATTAGTAACGATATGTATAACATCTTAATAATGAATACGACCCTTACCAACCTTTGCACATTGGTTTCGCGCATGATTCCAATCTATTTTGTGATAAGGTACAGTATAGAGCTCCTTTCTCAAAGCCAAAACAGTTGGCGTGATTGGACCAACAAACCTCTTCCCATATAAGTACGACATAGGCAAGTAAACCATCCGACAGTGACACCACAGCCTTCCTACATAATTGGAGGAAAAAGAAAAGGTTTCCTTAGACAGGACAATAGGAACGCTTTCTTTTTTTTTTTTTTTTTTTGCAGTATTTTAAATGGCATGCACAAATCAACATCACCAAAAAACATTTTACACAAGCAAAGTTATTATGCTAAAATTCTCAAGTTTATGAGAATTATATTTGACAAGGATATGGAATTATTAATTAAAACTTCTACTCAGAACATAGCACGACGCATGGTCAACAAAAGAAAAGGGAAAAAATAAAATAAAATAAATAAATAAACAAAAAAAAAAATGCAAGGGACAGATTTAGAAGTTATACAAAAAGCAATATGGTACTGTGACAATATTGCAATGAAGGATTAGGGACAAAAGTTTCTGATAAATTAATTGTTTAGCTCAATTATTAAAAAAAATAAAAGTAAAAAGCTCGAGTTCTCTGCCAAAACAAACAATCCTAGGCTTTACAACATGAGTCTCCCACGGGTATCATTCTACTAATGTCAATACCTTGTATTCAAATTGATGGGGAATAAAAAGCATTGGATAATGTTAAATTGAAGATTAGGAATTTATTTTTGTTAGTTATGATTTATTAGGTTTTATTGTTTAATTGGGATTTAATTATTGTAGTTCTTTTTTGGTGATGGTGATTGATCAAATCAACAAAGGTGACCATGAAGAAGCAGCAACATGAGCACTCTGCAAACCACATCGACGATGAACAAGATAACTAGGATCAATGGCGCATTCATTATTTTAGATCCAATTGCTGAAAGTGGGGGTGCATATGTAAATACACAACCCTAATTTATGTTCTCTATCTTTTTTTCTCTTCTCTTTCTTCTTCTCTCTAACTCTAACCCTAATCTTCTATCTCTATTCTCTAACTAAATATATATATATAAAAAAGGTTTTAAAAAAAATCAAATAACAATATATTTATCCTTCTAACTAAAAATGAGTAGCCTTGTGCAATTGAAAAAAATTGTAGATGCAAATTTTACATGGGCTTGTTCAATTTATTCAAATTCTATTAGCTAAATTTGAATGGATAATATGATAATCAAGTACCCAACTAATTATATAACATTTAAACATAGTTTTTATATATTTTCTCTTGTAGCATACAATATATTCACAACTAGGATTTTTTATAGTCATGCTTAAACTGAAGTACATGGTTAAATGCAAATATACCTAAAAGGTAAAAACCAAAAAGCACTAAAATGGTATTCGTTATCATACCAAAATATTGGCAGTGTATCATACCATAATATTGGTATTTATAACAAATCAAGGGCCTATTCAATACTATGATCTAAAGGTTAAAAACTAATAAATTGTATTTTTATAAACAAAAAATTATAATCGTGAAAAAGCGCAATTTAAGGTTATTAAAAAGCGCACTTTCGTAGCTGTGTTTCACTGTAACAACTAAAAGTGTTTTTGTTGCTGCACTTTGCACTTCGAACGTGCTTTTAGCAATACTGATGACAGCTCAGATTAAGTTCTGAATTTGATAATGAACTCTTTCCAAGTTGAGACGGCCAAGTGGCCGTGGCTTATTTGGACCATTTGGATCACAGAATGGCAAAATGGTACATTAGTGTTCAGATAAACGTTGGGGGATCAGCTTTGAAATGCCAATGTTCGATGGGAAATGCCCAACAATCAAAATCCGCTGCTTTATTGTAATCTAAAGTGCTTTTCAAGTGAATTCTATCCACTAGGCCCTCAATTTTGCATTTATTCCATTTTAAGAAAGTTTTATTTTTCAATTACATTATCTAAGAGACTAAGAACTTTCCATTTTGGTTGTTGTTTGTTTTGGCATGTTTCTTTAAGTTTCTAGTATCCAAATTTAGGCTTAACTCAATTTTTCCTTTTTTAGTATTTTCTTAATTATTCAATGTTAAGTTAGAAAATTGTAATGTTTTCTCTTTCCTAGACGAATCAGAAGTTCTCTACTATTATAAATAAGGTTGTAAGCCGTAGGGCTATTTAGTTTTGAGTTAATCAATAAAAAAATTCAAAAAAAAAAAGTTCTCTAATTTATCATTGTTTGTGATCATTCTTGTTGCTAGGTTCATTCCATACATGTTCCATGCATCAATTTTGAAAAGTACTTTGGTCGATATTGGTTGATGAAATCTCCCACCCAAAGCAGTTGGGTCAGGTGACAGGTCAACGGTGAAACCACACCGAATCAACCTGCGAACAATCCTACTCTTTACCCTATGGTTGTAATTATGATCCAAATGATTGTCAGGATTATTGGCAGATGGTAAAACTTGGATCAATTAGCCATTGTCACGAAGTACCATCCATTCTTTTGATCCATGAGTTCATTACAAGAAGAAAAAAAAAATGAAAGGCTTACATAAAAAGCACAAAGATGATCACTAACCTGGATGGAACGGGAGAACATATGGGATAAGCCATATCTCAGGGGGCAAGGGATTATTTCCAGACCATTCAAATACACCAAGTACCTATAACCATCAAAAAATAGACCAAGAACCAAATAAATGTCTAGGAGAGTAGAAAATACTTTGTCAGTTGAGCACTAAAACAAACAAGATAAAAATTCAGGACGCAACTGAAAGCCACATTTTTCCCCATGATGTTATTGCGGTGGCACCACCATGATCCAAAAGCCACTTACGTCCTTTCTCCACTGCCCCTTGCCCATCATCAGCTTCTTCACCAAGCAATCTCAAAGTAACATAGCTCAAGCAAGTACCAAACATCGTACTGGGGCCCTCAATGTGTAAGCCCCACCCACCATCTCTATTCTGTAATTACAGATTTCAACATTTAGAAATTTTATCTCATCATGCTGATAAGAAACTCATAAAAGAAAAATTGTAGGAAAACAATTTGAATATCCTAAATAAACATTGATATAGACCAGTCATAATAGGTTCAAATGCTTATATCAAATTCTCCTTACCTGATGATTGTAAATATATCGGCACATCTCGCATTTATGTTCTTTAGATAAGACTGCATTCAGTGCCCCCGTAATAGACAGAGTAATAATCTATACATCAATGGGCAAGACAATGTCAAAATCACATATTATCCTTTTCTTAGACTAAATTGCAAAGCTACGTACCCAAACTATTAACACCTATGTTGACAACTATAGCATATTTGAAGAAAATTGCAGTTGTAGTCTGACACAATCCACTCTCAATGGATGGCATGATGGGAACGTCAGTAGAGACAAATCAACACTTACCAAGCCAGGTAGTAGAAACATAGGACCTCCATAATCTCCTGGCCAATGTCCATCATGTGCCTGGAGAGTTGAATGAAAACTGATAGCTCTTCTTAACGTGGTCATTACTTGATCCTCCGTAATATCTTCTGTATCTTTTACTTTGACTTGTGGTAAGAGTATCCTTCTTGGACTTTCCTTGGCAAACTACATTTTGGAAAGGAAAATAGCGTATGTTAGTTGATAAGCTTCATATAGAGAACAACCTCAAAGTATACTTTTACTTTTTTTCTCAAATAAGAAGCTGAAAGAAAATGTTATATAAAATTTCATATGAAGTAAGCCAGTAAACTATCTCATTTACCATTGTCAGTTCAGTAAGTGTTTAAGTCTTATACAATTACAAGTGTCATTATGGTTGTGATATCCCTGTTCCGCATATGTTAATTAGTCCTTAATATGAGCATGATTATGTGTTTAATATGATTTCGTGTACCATTATGTGAAAATATGTGGTTTTGAATTTTTATCTGTTCACCGTAGGAATATCTGTTTGATTATCTGCTTTGGAAATTTAATTGAAGGCCTTATCGGCCACAGAATCCGAAATTGATTACGGCATTGTGATTGGCATAATTTTTAGAGCCTACGGTGAAATTTAATTAAAAATTGATTCGGATCAAAGTAAACAGATTAATTTGGTGCTTTAGTACTCAATTATTTAATATCTATAATTTTGGTTAGTGGGACTTTTATTTAAGGGCCTTAGTATAATTGATTCCTCTCTTTTATATCATTTTTGGCTGAAATCACTCTAAGGAGAGTCGAAGAGGCCGGCTAGAGAGAGAGAGAGTAGGAGATTGTAAGTTTGATCTTGAAGCTTGATAATTTGAAGACCAACTCAAGAATTAAGCTTAAGTTTGGAAGATTAAAGCTCCTAGGTGAGTAATCAACCCTTAATTCATAAGTGTGAATTGTGAGTTTGTGGATTGAAGGTGAAATGGTGGGTTAGATCATGAAATTGAGTTGATCATGTTGAATTGAAGGTTAATGTATGCTTGCATGTATGTAATTGTTTGGGATTTGCATGTTTGAGTTTGAAATATATGATCCATGTAAGTTTCTAGTTGAAGCTCGTGTTTACAATCACCATTTGCACCATGTGAGTTGTAATGAGGGTAATATATCACATGCATGTACAATTTATAAGAGTAGGAGCTTTGAATGCATGAATTTGATGAGTTGGTGATGAGTTTGGGTTAATTTGGGACATGCAAGTGTTTGATTCATGAAATTGAGCTTCATAGTGATATAATTTGGTGTTTGTATCATGATAGCATAAATATATTTGAAGTTTGAGCCAAAAATTATGAGTTTGGAACCTTTGCAGGTCGAATTGAGCTCAAGAACAAATTCTGGAAAACCCAGAATTCTAGCTGTCCGCTCGAGCGGGGAAACCGCCGCTCGAGCATGAAATACGAGCTCTCAGCATATTTTGCAAACATGGCTTACGCTCAAGCGGGGAAGTTTACGCTCGAGCGGGGAGCTATGTAGCCAGATGAGCGGTCGAGTTCGCGCTCGAGCGTGAAATTGATGTAACTAGTTGTAGAAATTTAATGTATAAAGAGAAATGATTGTATTATTGATTGTTGTATGTTGTGATGTATTGTATGTACATTATATAGGAGATGGAGATGTGAAGTGGAGGTGGAGTGGTGGAGTAGGTGAAGTGGAGTGTGTAGTGGAGTAGGTGAAGTGGAGGTGGAGTGGTGTAGTGGGTTAGGTTTAGTGGAGTAGGTTTAGGTGTACATTAACACTAGTACTTTTGCAGACCTCATGGATCCGCTCGAGCGGGGACCCTGTTTTCTGAAATTTTGAAAATGCATTTTGTGTTCTGTTTTCCGTTCCTTTGCACTTCTAAGCACTCTTAGGCATACATTGAGCATTGTAATTGAATTAAAGAGATAAGAATGAAGCCTAAAGAGGAATATGTGAATTAAATAACATATTGAATTATTTGCAACCCATACGTGTTATGTGATATGTAGGGTCAAGCTCCAGGGCAAATCCACAAGCCGATCACTGTGAGTAACATCTGAAATATGTTGTTGTCCAATTGCTTACCTCTATGTAAGTTTTGTAAAGTTTATTAATTTGAATGGTGGACAAAGTCTGATATGAAAGTTTGGAAGGCCTCAAGGCCAGTTTGATATGAGAGTTTGAAAGGCCTAAAGGCCAGTTTGAAAAGCCTAAAGACCAGTTTAATATGAGAGTTTGAAAGGCTTAAAGGCCAGTTTGAAATTAAAGTTTGAAAGGCCTAAAGGCCAGTCTGATATGAAAGTTTGAAAGGCCTAAAGGCCAGTTTGATATGAAAGTTTGAAAGGCCTAAAGGCCAGTCTGATATGAAAGTTTGAAACTTCTAGGGAGAGAGTAGATAGATTGTAGAGAATTTAAGGGAATTGAAGAGATTAAGCTAGCAACTTCCAAATTCGAGCTCTAGGTGGTCATCCGAGGCCTATCACCTGTGCCAGCCCACTGTGAGCAGTATCTTTATAAAGATATGTTCAAATGTATTTTAAATTACTTCAAGAATGTTATTTTGAAATATTGTTTTGACTAAATGAATGATTGTCTCTTTTGAAATGTATTGTGGTATCCTTTAAATAATATCATGGCCCTTTGTTTGATAAGGCCCTTGCCTGTGGGAAATAATACCAAGGCCCTTCATTATTTGATTACAAAGATCTCTGATGTTGACCCGAGTGGTCCCTTTGTTTGACCTACACGGTCCCTTCGTTTAGACTCGTGGTCCCTTTGCTGACCTTCATGGTCCCTTTGATATAAGCCTTCAGGCCCTTTGCTTTGTGCTATTGGATGTACTACATATGAGTTATGATCTATGAACTTTTGATATGACAGTACTTAATTATGATTTGTTCCAAAACTCATGAGATATGATTTGTATTATGCTAGACATCATTCATTTAACCTCTTTATACCAATATTACTCATTGGAATTTAGCTTACCTCTTTCCCCTATATATATGTAGGTCGAGTAAATGGAGCATCAAGTTTAGAGAAGTTTGGGAGTCCACCTTTTTGTAAAGCCGCTTTTGGAGTGCCTCCGCGATGGGACGTACTTGGACTTGAGTGGAGCCAAAGCGTGTCAACCCTTTGTTTTATGTTGTTTTGTTTTTGTCATTTGGCATCTTTTTTTGAATGGATATTATGTATAAGGAGTTTAACTGGATGTGCTATACTTATGTATCTATGATTGGATGTATGAAGTTTTAAGTTTCAAATATGAAATTTGCACGTATGCACTGTTCGATGGACGTAGTTATATTCTTTTATTGCTTCTGCAGAGCCCCGATTACTATTATTACTTATTTGTTTCGTTTTTTAGGCCAGGTAATCTAGGATTACTAGCCAGTCATGACCTAAACCTTTAGGGGCGGGTTTGTCGTGACACTTTCCCTTTTGTTTGAAACCCTAGCCCTTCCCCTTCCCCTTCCCCTTCCCCTTCCCTTTTTGTTCACAACCCTAGAGGAGGAGGTTAAGGGGATTGGTTGCGAAGGAGTGGAGAAGAGCAAAGAAGTTCAAAACCCTAACCCATTTCCCTTCATTCAAAACCCTAGAGAAGGTGATAAGGGGCATTGGTAGAAGGCATTGGTAAGGAGAAGAAGAGCAAAGAGATGGGAGGGGGCATCGTTGGAGTTAAGGGTGGGGGTAGGGGTAGGGGGATTCACGTATGGAAGGGGGGCACATTAGGAGAGGATAGGGATGGAGTAGCAGGAGACTTGCAAAGGGTTGAATAAGGAGGTAGGTGGTAGCAGGGCGAAGGAGGGAAGGTGGATCAAAGTCGGTGACGATGGATGGGGTGATGGTTGTGGGGTTAGGGTTTGGAAAGTTAGCAATAGGAGGTAGGATTGGGATTAATTGTGGTGGTTCACCAACAGTTGAGAAAATACAAACAATGTAGTTAGAGAGCCGCTTGCAAAAAAAGGAAAACAAAATGGCAAACATAATTCACAATTAAAAAATTATACTAGTGTTGTTTTGTCAATGCAGTAGGTGTTTGTTTTTATCACCATCATCACCATCATCATCATCATCATTAATTTAGTATTCTTACATATAGTAAGTAGGGTTTAGATAATAAAATAACAGTTGTGTAGCTGTAGTAGTTGTCGTTGCTGTTGGCTCCACTTATATGAACCAGTCAAAACCCAGTAAACACAGTTTCGATGAGTCCAAAAGTGAGGATTATTCAAAAAGTGTATTGACTCATTCAATCTATTTTTACTTATTCCTAAATGATATCAAAACAATTGGATCCAGCTCAGCTAGAGAGAGAAAGTAGAGAGAGATGAAAATGTTTTGTTGATTTTGAACCTGAAGGCGCATGAGCAGATCATCACTGTGCTTTTTCTGGAAACGATTGTTGGTAAAGTTGCGGCGAGCATTGTTGATCTCCATGAGCTCTTCGGGGGATCCGAGATTGGGATCGAACTCCCAGAATTGCCTGCCGACGTGATCGTTCACCGTGCGAAGCCATGGACTCCCTCCTTCCGCGATCTTAAGTTTCCACATTCTTCATTTTACACCACACAACAATCAAAACTCAAAATCAACCTCAATCTCATTCTACTGAACTGAATACATTTGAAAATGCACAAAGTTTTGAAAATTAAAAATAAATAAACCTTAAAATTTTGGATTTTACCCAGTATCTATTAGAGTTTGAGATTCTGAGAGTGGAGAGAAACTAGAGAGAGAAGGTCTTCAGGGGAAAATATACATATTAAAGCATATGAAGTAGAAGAGGAGGGCACAGTAGTTTGGTTTGCATGTGGAGAGAGGCAGAGAGAGGGGCAAAGTCGTGCTGTAATTTTGGCATTCGGATTTGATGAAGTGATATTTCGAAAACGATTCAGATCCCATAAAATATCACACGTTTTTCATACGTTTTTTTTTTCACCGCTGGGTTGTTTGGAACATTTCAAATAAGTATATTTTTTTTGTATTTTTAGGTTAAAAAGTTAAAGAAAGAAATATAGATATTTGGGTTAGTTTTTAATTTTTTATGAAAAAATATGTATTAAAAAATTATATAAAGAAGTGTGTATGCCGTACGGATTGGCGGTGCAGGCGGCTTTGTGAATACATGGGAAAAGATTGCCTCCTTTTTCAGGCTTTGATTTGACGGTATTGTTCGGCCTGTGAGAGCCCACCACGTTCAATATGAATAACTCGTCAAGTATTATATGCTTGTAAAAAATCACGTTGATTGGATATCGATAGCTATCTTATCGTGTTAGTTTTTTTTGTCAATTGTTAACTATAACACCATCTAATTTTTATATAAAACTGATTTGATCATATAGTTAGTGATATCCGATAGACGTGATTTTTTACAGGTATATACTACTAAGCGAGTTCTACATCTTGAACGATTTGGATTACCAAAACGGAACCCATGGTGGGACCCACGGACCCAATTTTACCATCCAACTTAATGAATGTACACATACAATTTTATTTTTTTCTTTCCTTTCGCTGAAGCTAGCCTGACGTTAGTACATTGATGGCCAAAAAGTTGATTTGTATTTAATATTTGTATATTAATTTTTTTTATATTTTTTTTTATGAATAGTGATAACTTTTTAACTTTTTTAATAATTTTTTGACTTTTTTTACACTTGCCAAACCAACCCTTAATCTTCTACATATCTTCTATATCTATCTATACTTACTATATATTAAGCAAAAGGGGATTTTAACCTGAGGCTTGTGGGAGTTCCAATATCCCAATCTAAATTTCCTGATTTTTTGATTTAAAAAAAAAAAAACCTTACATTTATTAACTTCTCTCAACCCTCAAGTCTTACCCTCATAATAACACTTTAATGCATTAAGAACAAACATAAAAAAAATTCTTTGAAAACCAACACAAATGAATTCCTTTAAAAGTCTCAACACATATGATTATTATCCCTCATAATAACACTTTAATGTATTAAGAACAAGCATAAAAAAATTTCTTGAAAAGTCCAACACATATATATGATTATTATCAAAATATTAAACTTTAATATAATATAATAAAAAAAAGACATTTAATTCCTTAAAAAGTGTAACACATATGATTATTATCAAAATATTAAACTTTAATATAATATAAAAAATAAAAAAACAAGAAGGCATTTAAAAAAAAAAGAAAAAAAAAAAGAAGACATTTAAAAAGCGCAATTCACATATATAGATAATTGTAAACACAATAAGTGCATAGCACGAGTGATATGCTAGTATCTATACTATATATTAAGCAAAAGGGGGTTTTTAACCCCAGGCATTGTGGGAGCTTCAATCTCCCAATCTAAATTTCCTGATTTAAAAAATAAATCTTAGCATTTATTAACGTCTCTCAACTCCCAAGTCTTACCCTCATAATAACACTTTAATGCATTAAGAACAAGTATAAAAAAAATTCTTTAAAACCCAACACATATGAATCCCTTGAAAAGTCCCAACACATACGATTATTATCCCTCATAATAATACTTTAATGCATTAAGGACAAATATAAAAAAAAAATTCTTAAAAAGTCCAACACATATGATTATTATCAAAAATATTAAACTTTAATATAGGGTATGGCTTCTGTCCAATCCGGGATCGGACTGGACCGTACTATTGAGCCCGTGGGGGTGCACCATGAGTCCTGTTTTGATAATTTGAACCGTTTAATATGTAGAACTCGTTGAGTACTATATGCCTATAAAAAATCACGTTGATCGGATATCGATAGCTTTATGATCAAATCAGTTTCGTAATAAAAAATTGGGCAGTGAACAAATTAACGGTTGACAAAAAATTGTTTTGATCACATAGCTATCGATATCCGATGAATGTAATTTTTTACAAGTATATAGTATTTGACAATTTCTACATATTGAACGATTCAGATTATCAAAACGGGACCCGTGGTGGGGCCCCACGGGCCCAACAGCACGGTCCAGTCCGATCCCGGACTGGACAGAAGCCATACCCTTAATATAATATAATAAAAAAAAGACATTTAATTCTTTGAAAAGTCCAACACATATGATTATTATCAAAATATTAAACTTTAATATAATATAAAAAAGGAAAAAAAGAAGACATTTAAAAAAAAACATTTAAAAATCACAATTCACATATATAGATAATTGTAAACACAATCCGTGCATAGCACGGGTGATATGCTAGTACCATATATTAAGCAAAAGGGAGTTTTTAACCCCCAAGGCCTGTGAGAGCTTCAATATCCCAATTTGAATTTTCTAAATTTTTTATTTAAAAAAAAAAACTCAGCATTTATTGATTTGGTCAAAATCCCCTGATCATCATTTATTAACTTTTTTCAATCCATATGTCTTTTCACATGCCTGCATTTATTGATTTTGTCAAAATCTCATGATGAGCATTTAAAATCCCCTCGTACAAATAATTATAGATACAATCCGTATATAGTTACTGCAGTACCATTTTCAACTTCTCCTATACACTATGGTTAGTGATAAGATTGTTAAATTATTTTTATAAAAAATCTTAAAAACATAATTTATATATTAAAAAAAAATCTAAAGCAAATATAAATATCTATAATTATCTCGTGCATAGCACTGGTGATGGCTAATCTATACTATATATTAAGCAAAATTGAGTTTTTAACTCACAGACCTTGTAAGAGCTCTAATATCCTAATCATAATTTTCTAATTTTTTGATTTAACAAAAAAAAATAAAACCTCAACATTTATTGTTTCTCCCAACCCAACCTCAACATTTATTAACTTCTCCCAACCCACAATCCCTTTTTGACTTCTCTCATAATTACTGCAGCACCATTTTCAATTTCTCTCATACACTATGGTTACACACAAAAATAAATAAGATAAGACTTTGGCTATAGATCTCAAAAAAATATAACATCTAAATTTGAATTATGATTTAGTAATATAATTATGTATTTTTTTATATATATCTATCAAAATTTTAAATCACTTAATGGGACAAATTAATCAATTTTCTAAAATTATTAGTTTTTTAATTTACAAAATAGATTAAAAAAATATTAATTGATTTATTTATTTAACAACAAAAATATTTCATAATCTCTCTCTCCTAATCTCTCTCACCAATTTCAAAAATAAATAATTAAAACTTACATTCGTTTTCTCTTCTCCAAAAAATCAGATAATATTTTTTATTAAAGTTGTAGATATCTATCTATATCTTATATATTATATTATAACATAAAAA